CTTTTCAAACTTGGTATTAGCGTAAAGTTTATAACTTTCTCTATCGAGGAAAAATGAGGATTTGTGTTGGGGAGTTTTTATAAGAGAGAAAGAGCTTTTCCGGCGTCATGTATCTCTTTAATTACCGTTCTAAACGTACAAAACAAGAGTATCAGCGCGCAACCCTCGCTACAAAGGAGGCGATACACGATAGATTAATTAACAAACAGGCTCCGGAAGTCATTCTAGACGACATTAAGTCATTGGACGATTCTATGAATGAACCCAGAGACCTTGGGCAAATTCAAAATGCCAAGTATCTTTTGCAGAAAAAAAACGTGACGACAAACAACCAAACAGTTATAGTCAAAATACGGTGGACGGACTTTTTAAGTGTTCTTAATGAAATCCATGACAGCAATTTCATACGAGAAGTAATTGTTACAAAAGGGAAAACCCCTTCAGTTATCCTTTATCCGACAACCAGCTGACGGATATAAAAACCGCTTGTATCAAAAAAGGCGCAATTTTAGGAATTGATAGGACATTTAACCTTGGACCATGCTTCGTTACTGCCTTGGTTTTTAATAACACCAACTTGGTTAGGAAATGTAAGGAAAATTCTCCTATTATGCTTGGTCCTGTTTATTTACATTGGGATGCGAGCTTTTTCACGTACTCGCGGTTTTTAACGCATATTGCCAGTGTCCTTGATCTTGACTTTGACCTGTGTGACCTCGTTATAGGGTCTAACGAAGAGAAAGCTTTAGTTAAGGCCATAGAAACCAACTTCCCCGATGCCACGCTTACTTTCTGTACACGACACATACAGGAAAACGTTTCGAGACATTTGTCACTTAAAATTGGCATGACTGATAAAGACAAGGCCCCGATCATGTCATCAATCTTTGATGAAGATGTTTTATTGAATTGAAATTCAATAAAAGAATTCAATACCATTGGACAAACGGTTGACGAGTCGTATGGAACACGTTTTGGAAGATATTGGTCAGTAAAGATTTTACCAACGATTAAGCGCAGGGTGATTGAATCGAGATTGCGCAATGCTGCAATTCCAAAAGGTTGGAAAAACAACAATTGCGAATCGATGAATCACATCATCAAACTTCTAGGGGACTGGAAAATATCCAAGGTTCCCAAGCTGATTCAGCGTTTGGATACCATTCAACAATCGCAGTACTCTGACGTACGTAGATCGTTGCATGGTCTTGGAGACTATGAATTGGCCGCGCACGCGCAGCATTTCAAGTAGAGCACAGTTGTGTGGCGCGAATTGATAAAGCGCGCAGAGTTGACCAAGTTCCATCCATTTTACTTGACTATGACTGGAGGGTAAATGATGATCTTTGTGGGAGTGACCACTTCCCAATTTTTCTTCAGAATATTGGGACTCCTCTTGATGATCCTCTACCTCGATGGAATATGCACAAAGCAGATTGGGCCCAATTCCAACACATGTGCATTGAAAAACTAACCATAGACAATTTTACTAACCTCGACGACCCTATCAAAACTTTTACTGAAACACTCACTTCAATTGCCCAAAAGACAATTCCAAAATCCGCTCCAAAACCTACGAAGTTCCTTTTATCTGAAGAATCTTTTAAAACACGCAGTAATCGGGCAGCTGCTCTAAGACGCTACTTCAATTGCCCAACTGCTTCAAACTACAGTGAATTTAAAATTTGGCGGGCAAAGGCTCGGCGATCAATTAAAATTGACAAAAGAAACAGCTGGAGAGAATATGTATCCAAGATATCATCAAACACGTCCTC